CTAGATGGCCGCTTGTTTACCTTCAAGCTTTTAAGACCCCAGATGCTATATCTTTTGATAGCTGGGCACCATCAGCTTTCTTCACCACATTTGCTTACTCACCCGCTTTGTCTTTAGTGGTTGTGTCAGGAAGGTGACCAGCTTCATTTCTATCACTAAGATCTTATTTTCATCCTCCCTCTTTACTTCCAACTTCCTCATTCCAATCACCAGTACTTATCAATGTATCTTGATTTTATGTTTGATCAATTTTAGACTGAAGATGTTGGTAGAATTATTCAATTTCTTCATCACTGGCTTTAGTAGTTGGTATGTAAATTTAAACTATAGTTGTATTAACTGGTCAAACTTTTAGATGTATATTCTCCTATCACAGGTAGCATTGTACTTCAAGATAGACCATGATATGTTTGTTTGTTTTGTAATAATTAATGTGATGCCATTCCTGTTGAAATTGTCACTCCCTGCATAGTAAACTGTATAGTTGTCTAGTTCAAAATGGCCAGTTCCGGTCCATTTCTGCTCACTAATGCTAGGATATGAACTTTTATGACCTTCACTCCATTACTGAGAACTGCTAGTCTTCCTTAATTTATACTTTGTACATTCCACATTCCAATATTAGTGCATGTTTCCTCTCATTTTGAGTTGTGACCCATCAGCAAATGAAAGTCCTCAATGCTTTATTCGCTCCATATTATTAAGTTTGACTGAAGAGACAGCTCTTCTGCAGTCATATTTTGAGTGTCTTCCAACCTGAGGGGCTCATGTTGTGGTATTAGGTCAGATAATATTCCGCTGCAATTCATAAGATTTTCAGTGCTCAATTTTCAAGAGTGGACTGCTTCTTTCTCCAACCCAGCTTATCCTTAGTCTGGAAACTCCACTGAAACCTGTTCTCTGTGGGTGATCCCGATGGTACTTGAAACACCAGTGTTTAAGAGAGTACTGGTGGCAAAGACATTACGCATTGAGCTGCTACCTGCAAGGTCAGCAGTTCAAAACCACCAGCCGCTCCATGGGAGAAAGACTCACATAAAGAGTTCTAATCTTGGAAACTTACAGGGACAGTTCTACTCTGTCCTACTGGGTCAATATGAGGAGACATCAACTCAATGGCACTTTGCTTTTTGTTTTTGTTTTTTAAGTTTGGTTCAGTCATGTCTGACTCTGGATGATCTTTTGAAGAATCATCATTGATCATTTTTAGTTTCTAGTTTGCTCAGTGCTTTTCTCTTAAACAGTGTTAAGTTACTCTTGTTCTTTTTAATTTTCTTAAACCAAATTCCTTAGATGAAATCTATGATGATAAGTAATATATATATATATTGCTCCTCAGGTTCCTGCCCATTCAAGCAGAGGTTTATTTCAAATGGAACATGTTTAAATGTGTCTCTGCTCTCAGTGGATGACTACAGACAAGTTAGCTCAGTAATTGACTTGCTTTTTAAACAATGGCCCAATAAAAACAGTTGCTTCCAAGGGGATTTTCTGGGCCAATTCAAAGCAGAGGGGTCAGGACATCAGAAGTTTACAGTGACTGGTTTTGTTTTTAATTCTTCTTTCCTTTTTTAATATGGAACCCTTCACAAATTTGCATGTCATCCTTGTGCAGGGGCATGCTAATCTTCTCTGTATCATTCCAATTTTAGTACATGTGCTGCCTTCATTTTTAAGGACTTACATTGGTAACTTTTCTCCAAGGACATAGGGAAATCATATGGATGAAGTTTGAAAAACACATAAAGCTTCCTTGGTGAGAAAAAGATCACGAAAGTTGCACAGAGGGATCCCCCCCCCCCATTATGATAATGCACCTGCTGATTCTTCGAAGGTTGCAAGGACATCCTATGAGACTCTTCTTGGGAAATCTTATCCCACCCACCCTGTAACTCTGATCTTGCGTCTTCAGACTTCTTCTTGTTCCCAAAACTCAAAGAGCTTGACATGGTGTGTGAGTTGAACAGAGCAACATTCTCCGGGGGGGTGACAGAGATGGAAACACCACCTTCAAAAGTGTATAGACCTGGATGAAGGATGTGGTGAAAAATAATAGCTCCACGTTTTGGTGATGTTGTTTAGTAAAGGTTTCTGTGATAGTATCACAAAATTTTTTGACTCACCCTCATAGTTTACATTTTTCTTTTGAATTTTTATTCATATATATATATATGTGTGTGTATATATCAGATAGATAAACAGATAAAACTTTGCACTCATGAAGCGTCGGGTGGAGTGTATGTTTTTAGGATAGGGTATGGATTTTCTCTGTGAGTTACTGCTAATGTGGAGGAATTTAAAATTCTGTGCGGGCATTACTTGTAGGTTTTGGGATTACAGACTCACTCACTCTAAAATGGGCAGTCTCAGAAGGCTCCTGAGACAGCTCACAAAGGGAAGCACTGAGCGGCCAGCTCTCGGGTGGCAGTTGGAGGTCTCTCAGTCCCCCTTGCAGGAATTGGACTCAGCTGGGAAATCATATCAAGTTGCCCAGTCTCTCGACACCCAGTTTAAATTCCTCAGAGAGAATATTCAATTGTCCCACCTTGGATTATGTGTCTAATTCTGGGTCCAGTGACTTACCCCCACAGGAGACAAAGTCTTATGGCATAGACGTGGTCACTGGTGTCCACTCCTTGCACGTTTCTGGGACTGACAGAATTATGAATTGTGAACTGGGCAACCACCCATGTGCACAATGGAATGACTGTCACTTCCTAGTGGAGCCTTTGTCCAATTGCCTAACTGCTCTCTGCCTCAGTTTTCTTATCTTTAAAATGGGAATACTAATCATATTTACTTCATAAGGTTATGTTGAAAATCATATGAGTTAATATCTGTTTTTAAAAATACCCCAAGCAATGAATGTGCAAATGTGCTTTACACAATTGATGTAGGCATGGATTGTGATAAGAGTTGTATGAGCCCTTAATAAAATGATTTGTTAAAAAATACCCCAAAATATAAAACAGTGCCTGTCACATAACAAGCACCAGGTAAGTATTTGATATTATATTTCTAATTTTATCGGGATATGTGCTTCAATATTTACTCTGTCTTATATTTTACTTGAAACTTCTTAGCCTTTGTGTTAAGCTAGATCATCTGGAGAAACAGACCACTGGGCACTCATCTATGTACAAGAAAGAACTTTATACCAAGGATCAACTTTACATCTCCTGCAAAGGAGAGGAGGAGGGTGGGGGAAGGGCGGGGGGAGCCAACAAACCCAGGGGAAAGAGAACAACAAGAGATCTAAATCCATGGCAAGGAAGGCATAGAATGCCTGGAGGGGTTCGATCAAGTGCAATGTAGCCTAGAGGAAGTTCTGAGCGTCAAATGAAAGTCAAACATGATAGTGGAAGAGGAGGAAAGTAAAAGGAAATAGAGGAAAGAACTAGGAGGCAAAAGACATTTATAGAGGTATAAACAGAGGCGTGCACATATGTAAATATATTAATATATAATGATAGGGATATAGTTATAGGTTAAGTATAAAGGTGCCAGATGGACATTGGGTCTCTACTCAAGTCCTCCTTCAATGCAACAACCACTTTATTCTAATAACCTGCCATTCTGTGAGGCTCACCTTCTTGACAAGATCATTGAAGACAAATGGATGCATAAGCAAATGTGGTGAAGAAAGCTGATGGTGCCTGTCTATTAGAAGATACAGCATCTGGGATCTTAAAGGATGGAAGATAAACAAGTGGCCATCCAGCAAGAAAGCAAAGCCCACATGGAAGAAGCATGCCTGCCTGTGTGATCACGAGGTGTCGACAGGATCAGGTAGCAGGCATCAGAAGACCCAAAACAAACAACCATTTTGATGTGAACAAGGTGGGTAGGAATAGAGACCCAAAACCCATCTGTAGACAATTGGACATCTCACACAAGGGTCACAAGGAAATGACTAGCCAGTCAGGGTGCAGTATAGCACCGACATAACACACAACATTCCTCTAGTTCTTTAATGCCATCCCTGATCATGACCCCAGTTTTACCTTACAAACCTGGCTAGACCAAAGTATGTACACTGGTACAGATAAGAGCTCTTGACACACAGAATCGAGACAGATAAACCCCTCAGGATCAATAATGAGAATAGTGATACCATGTGGGTAGGGGGAAAGTAGGGAGAGAAGGGGGGGCAAAGCAGGAACCAATCACAATGATTGATGTACATCCCCCACCCCAGGGGAAGGTGAACAACAGAAACATGGGTGAAGGGAGACAGCAGATGGTATAAAATATGAAAATAATTTATCAATTATTAAGGGTTCACGAGGGGATAGGAGGGAGGGGAAAAAAGAGGAGCTGATACCAAGTAGACAGAAAATGTTTTGGAAATGATGATGGCAAGTACAAATGTGCTTGATACAATTGATGTATGGATTGTTATCAGAGCTATAAGAGCCCCCAATAAAATAATTTATTAAAATAAAATTTTTTAAAAAGAAGGCATCTCAGTCCAGTCCAACTCAAGTCCTTAGGTCCAACACTAGCCAGGGGCCCTCTTCAGATTCACAGAGCTGCGAGCCGATGACACAGAAAACTGAGGCAGGAAACAGTAGGCGCCCTGTGTGGGGCCGCACCTGGCAGCAGACAGAGTCCCAGTGAGGAGGGAAGCAAAGGGGCAGAGAGGAATGGCCTCGATTCCATCTTGCACTTATATAAAAGGTCACACCCCAAAATAGCGGTCATCAGGCTAACCAATTGATTGACAGGTTGAACTCCACCCCTAGCCAGGAGTGTCTAGTCGACATAATATCTCACTACCACACCTATGATGTGATTATTGGGAATGTGAGAGAGATTCACCTGTATTCTTCAAGAGTTGTTGCTAAGAGGAGCGCTTGAGTTGATTCCAACTCACAGTGGCCGAGCAGGGCTGCCTCCAAGGAGGTTGCCGCCTAGGTTGAAATCTTAGGGTGTCCCTGAAAGACCTTCAATGAAATAGATTGACACAGTGGCTGCAGCAATGGGCTCAACCAGTGACTGTGAGGATGCTGCAGGACGGAGCAATGTTTTATTGTCATACATAGACAGGGTCGAAGTGATTGGAGCCAACTGGACACCACCTAACTCCCTAATGTTTATGGGAATATAGCACCAAGTCTTTCCCCAGCAGAGCCCCACATGGGTTTGAACACCCAACTTTCTGATTAGTGGCTGAGTGTGTAACCGGTTGAGGTTCTGTCATTTTTCATCAAATTGCTGAAACTGTCTGGTAATTCTACCTTTTAATGGTGCTTTTGATCTCTGTGCTTTAAAACAGTTAAATATTTTTATCTGCTATATTCTGATAGCCATGTACCAAGAAATCCAAGTGGAGTTTCATTACATCTCTGTGGATAGTTATTGCATTTCGCTTCGATATATCTGCACATGCAGGTCTTCCTATGAACCTTATGGCCTGTGATGACTTTGGCCTTGTATTATTCTCATCGTCCTCCGGCTTTTGTTCACAAGCGGTTTTGTCAGATACTAAGATGGAAATGCCTTTCTTTCTTACATTTGCACAGGACTTCATTTTAGTTTGTGCTTAGTCTTTCCTGAAATGTGTTGTAGGACATAATCCAAAATCCATCCTGTCTTTGGATGTGGATTTGGTTTGAAGCCCACGTGGTGACTCGTTCTTTTTGGAGAACGTGGTCAGCAGTTGTAAGTGTCATGTGGGGACAACATTTCATCACCGGGCAGGCCTGGCTTGGCTGAGACGTTCTTCGTGAAGCCAGATGTTAGCGGACATTTTTGTCTCGTTTCTCTTCATTGCTAGCTCTGCCTTTGACTAAGCACTACCTAGATGCAGAACTCAGCTTTCCTAGAATACACGAACAATCACACAGTCACTGTCTCATACTACATTCTCACCCAACTCACACGTCCATTCACCCACTCTCATTGCACTCATAGACTCACCTTCTCACACTCTCATGCACGTTCACACTCATATACTCACAGGCTCACACATGCGCACACACAACCACACTCACAGACACACCCACTTCCCCCAACTGCCCAGGAAGGCCATTGGTGACCCATGTGTACTCCTCGATTTGAGAGGACCCTGGGATGGGGCACATGGCCCAGCCCTTACCATGTGCCATCTTGCCCCTCTTCCCCAAGCGGGGCAACCTCACCCCTATGCCATCCATCCCTCCCTGGAGTCTTCTGATCTCACAAACCATCCAAGCACTCACCCAGGCATTTCTCTAAAAACAATCCTGCTTCTTCTCATTTGTGTTAGTAAATTTAAGGTAAATAGCATCATTTGGTTCTTTCTATTGAAATCAAGAAATCAGTTAGCCAATCAGCCTCATCATTTAATGCCTGAATCCTCCAAGGGTGCTCAGGGACCAGCCACATCAGCATCACCTGAGAGCCTGCTAGACTCCCTGGCTCCACCCCAGATCATTAGATTAGATGACTCTTTTGCACATAAAAGTTTCAGAACTACTGGTCTAATGAACTTTTTGATTCTTCCAATTTTAGTAAATACAGACAGTGACAAATGGAACTTAGCCGTCCTTCTCGTTCCTTAATGCCCCAGCATCCACGTCAAAACGCCTCTGGGCGGGACGGGGGCGGGCGCATCAGAATGCATTGTGATTGCATAACCCACTTAAAGGTAATGTAACCGCGTGCGCGTGCGTGCGTGCGTGCGTGCGTGCGTGTGT